TTATTATTATTATTATCGACGAAGAAAGCAAATGTTTATTTTGTTGTATTTTTATTTATTTTGTTTTTTTTTTTTTTGCTTTTTGTATAACGAATAAAACAGGCAAAAGAAGCCCACGAAGAAGTCGAATCGTGAAATGCCTGAGAGAGGCAGTGGCATAGTGGTGCACACTAGTACAGGAGTCGAGCACATCGTTATTACTTTTTTTTTTCATCATCTTCTTCTCTTTTTCTTTCAATCAACTTTCCCCCTATTACTCGTTTCTCTCTCTCTCTCTCTCTTCCTATTTGTTTGTTTGTTTTTTTTCAGTTATCCTCTTCCTTGTCTTTCTCTCTCTCTCTCTTTCTCTTTCATTTTTCTTCTTCTTCCTCATCTTCTAATCCTTTCGCTAATCTTCCATTTGCTTGCTTGCTTGCTTGCTTGCTCGCTCGTCCCCCCCTCGTTTTCGTCTCCCCCTCGTTCTCGTCCTCGTCCTCGTCCTCGTTCTCGTCGTCACGTGATGCGCGAGCCACAAGATTCGAATAAACCAAACACATTCAGCCGACCGGTGCCAAGACCGGTGATCGGCAACTGGGAAACTAGGTCCCCACGTCCCAGATCTCGGCGAGGAAAAGTGGCAGCTTTTTGTTCTTGAACTTAAGACTGTAGCACATCTCGTTGTTTTGGTTGCCGAGGGTCCTCAGTTCGGTCAATACTGACAACAATTTGGCGAATATTATGCCGGACTTAGGTTTTCGACGATTGTCGACGTACGCCTTGAGGGCCTCCAAATATATTTCTTGGATTTTTTCAACCTTCACGCTTTCTATCAGGTTTGGCCTCTCTAAAAAAATAACAAAAGTAATCAAATTTTGTCAATAAATGTAGATTTAATGATCGGGAACGAAGGAGAGAAGGGTTAGGTGTGTCTAAAATAGACCAATTTTCTTTCTATCTTTCTCTCTCTCTCTCTCTCTCTCTATATATATATATATATATATATATATATATCTATCTACATTCAACAGAATCCAAAGGTATTTATATAAGCCGATCGATAAATCAAGGCGAGACGGGTAGAAGTTACGTTAGATACGTTATCTAGGAACGTGAAGGATGGGATTGGTCCCGGTAATGCTTCTATCAGTTTCGATCGATTTACTAGTAGTAATACCTTACTATTTATTCGTTATACAAAGTTCCCTGATATATAGTACCCGTTTTATCTTCCTTTGAGAAATTCATCCTAACAAACCACTCACATTTTTAGATACACATATATTTATTTATAGTATTGAAACTGATTCGAAAGATTAAATAAAGATTATTATTATTATTCATTTCGTTGTTTGAAGGATTGATTGATTGATTGATTGATTGATTGAATAGAAATATTGTTTATTAATGTATTTTTTGTTTACCTGAAAATATGACGATGGCCGTAAGTAGCGCGTATTCAGCGTTGTTTACTTTCATGGCGTACATCTGCCGGCAAAAACGTAAAAGATCCTCGATGGTTTCGCCCATGCCGGCGACGTTGTAACTGTCGCGGGTGTATGGTTGATTATTCGCAAATATTATACTGTCCGTTTGTACGTCGTATTTCCTTGCCATTCTCAGCATCATAACCTCGCTCGAACATGCCTTCAACAATGCGATCTGATCCTCGCGCATCAACTTGTCGAAACCGGGCAACCTTTTCGCAAATTCTACAATTAACTGGACCGTAAATATCGTGATCTCTGTGATGTGCCTGAACCTATAATCGCTGGGGTTCTCTCCTTCCGTTGGTTGATGCTAAAGCAAATTTATTTATATCATTCTTTGATTAACACCTATATGGATAAATATATATATATATATATATATGAAATTATTAAACACGTTTACTACTACCGATGATGATCAAATGTTACACACAAAATTTATCAATCCTCGATAATACGAATTTAAATAAATATAATTCGAAGAAGATTTTGTTCTTAAACAAGAACGAAGAGGTAACTTTATTTTTCTCCAAACATTAGATATTTGAATTTATTTATTATTATTTAATGTAATATGATACTCTCCCTACGGCAAGATGCAAAAAAAAAAAAGAAAAAAAGAAATACTTGCGTGACAGTGAAAGTGTTTAATTTTTATTAAAATCAAATTAAAATGATCAGCAATCCTTACCGTGATCTTTTTGAGATCGTCCTCGCTGGGTTGCTCGTATTCATTTTGGAAATAAACGAGCCTGTGTATCAGCTCCTCCTGTTCGGGGCTGATAGGTTTGACGTTGCTGTAAGGGCTCATTGGATTGAGGACTACCCCTCCGCTAGCAGCTTTTCCGGGCAAGGACAAGGGTTCTGTTTCCGTCGGTTCGATCTTTACTACTTGATCACAAGTTCTGTACCCACATGGAGAACCGTTCATCGTCGTACTATTCGGCTTGTCCTTTTCCTATTAAAATCAGATAAGACAAAATCGAAACGTGCTAGGGTAACAGTAAAAAAGAAGCTAAGATAAGATTGGCATATAATGTCCGAATAATAATAATAATAATAATAATAATAATAATAATAATAATAATATAAACAATAATCAATTGGGTCAAGTACCAATGAAATAGTTAAAAGTTTTAAATAATACTAATTATACTAATAACTATTTAAAAATAAGCAATTAGCAATATAGTATAGTAAAACAAATAAGAAAAATAAATCAGTAAGAAAAATACAAGTAGTACTATTATACTTTTCTTCTTTTTATATAATTAAATTTATACAATCACGGATCATTGATAATTGATAATTCTACGTATCATGATCTAATTTTGATTATCCCATAGAAATACGAATCAATTAATAATTGACAAGTGAAATTCGGACATTTACCAAGTTAACAAAAAGAAAACAATGTCCGCCAATAATTGTCCGGCAATATCGAAATAGGATGAACATCTTACCCCTACCTTCTGAGCCTTCTTTTCCTTGCGTTTGACCGCACATTGATATTCAGGAACAACGCATTCCGGCCTCATGCCAACCGTAAGACACTTCTTGAGCCTGCATTCTTGACACTTACGACGCATGTACATGTCAATTTCGCAATTGTTTCCATATTTGCACTGATAAACCGCATTTTTCGTGATACTGCGTCTAAAGAATCCCTTACAACCTTCACAAGTAAGTGCATTGTAATGATAACCAGAAGCCCGATCACCACAGACCAAACAAAGTTCTTCCTGTTGTCTTGGCGTTGGACCTTTCTTTTTCCTTGCATCGCAACCATCGTTACCACTACTACTACCAACGGGATTTCCTCCGCCACCTCCACCGCCTCCTCCGCCGCTACCTCCTCCTCCACCACCTCCTCCTCCTCCTCCTCCGCCACCTCCGCCACCGCCACCGCCGCCGCCTCCACCACCACCGCCACCAACACCACCACCACCACCACCACCACCACTTCCATAACCGTTAAGCGAACCGGGCTGCGAGAGCTCATCCCTGCCTGAAATCAAAAAATAAATGTTCGTATTGTTAATTGTCATTCATATTTTAACACACATAATTTTATATTAATATATATATATATACTTTTTGTATGTAAATAAGGATAATAATTATTGAAGAAAAATCAGGACAACTTTTTTCATTCCTAATTTCATAATAATTCTCATTGAAATAAGAATTACTATCTAATAAACACCGCGTAATCCGATATCCTCATTAGCTCGTAAATTTATTCAAACGTCTTTATTTAGAATATGTGGATGGACTAGTTTTCTGATACGTAAACGCAAGATTTTCTGGTTTTTTTAAAAGCTACGTTTTAACTAAACAACGAGTGTTGTTATTAAAACGTTAACAAGTGATAGAGGGGGAAAGGAAGAAAGGATCAAGGATCATGATCAAGACATCGAAAGTTAAGCACGCGTCTGAAAAGAGAGAGACCTTACAAGTGTAATAAAGTATGCAAGTATTATTACTAACGTGAATAAGAAATCTTGCAATCACAGTTAACTCTGGATCGTGAGATTTCCGGTTATTACGATAGATCATACTACATTATACACAGACGCGTATTATACATGGTGTACATTGAAAAAGTTAGACGACTCGAAGGAAGTATGTATATGAGTAAATGATGCTTTTAAAACGTATACATATATATATAGTTTTAACTAATAGTAAGTTTCCCGCGTTCGTAAGAACGATTCTCCTTGGTTGGGCTGAATTCTGGTTGAGTGTGTTGTGTGGGTTCCAGTAACCTACGTGGCGACATCGTCACGCGTTTCTATTACCCCTTTTATCTGTGAAACTCGTCGAGTGGAACGTGTGCAAGCGATAGAAGTCACGGTCGGTGAAAGTACGGGGCCCAGAAAGAGAGAGAGAGAGAATGTGTATGTGCATATGCATATGTATATATGTTTTTAGTCGTATGTGTGTGCATATTTGTTGTTTCCGTCTTTCTCTTACAACTTTGCTGTCAGGTATGCACACACACACACACACATATATATATGAAGATATGAAGAGAGAGAGAGAGAGAGATACATAGCAACAGGTAGTAGTAGTAGTAGTAGATAAAAGAGACTGTGACTGAGAAACCTCTATCCTATCCATGTGTATCTGTGCTAAACATCAGGATGATAACCAGGTCCGGATCGAGAACGTGACGGGCCCCTTCCCTATTTGCCTGTTGGCTCTTTTTCTATCTTCCTTGGTTATAAGTATCTTCTTTTGATGCATGCGATAAAAGCCGTACCACCCCCACCTCACCCTATCCCTCACTCCCCTCATTCTCCTAATCCTCCTCCTACTCCTTCTCCTCATCTTCCTTCTCCTTGCGATTTAAGAAGGAACGCGCGTCCTTGTAAAGAGCTTCGAGCGAATCGCGTACCTTGCTCCGCATTACCACCACACACACACACACACACACAAACAGAGTGTTCTCGATGGATGGAATAGGATAAGAAGCAGTTATTCTCAACTAGAAAATTCTGACTTTTTGTACAATCGGATTGTTAACGATTTGATAGGGGACATTTGTAACCCATCTGGGTTTGACTTTGTATGTTTATTTTTTCTTACTTTTTCTTTTTTCCTAATCGGGTTTGTTTTTATATATCTACACGTGAGATTAGCAAAGCACGAATGGAGAAGATAATAGGAATATCCAAATGTGTATAATGGAAAAAGATAGAATAAAAATAGAAATAAAGTAAAGGGAGGATTGAAAATTCGAGAATAGTTATCGAGAAAGTACGATCGTAAACGGTGGAAAACAAATAGTTTGCAGTATCGAAGAGACAAGAACGAGAAGTATGATAACCGAGTGACCACTTGGCCCGGTCAGTGTCTCAGTATTCCAAGTCAATGTTTTCAAAGCGGTCAGTAACTTTCCTTTGGTTCTAGAGGCCACAACACGCGGCCGTGTAATTCTCTCTCTCTCTCTCTCTTTCTCTCTCTCTTTTTCTTTCTTTTTTTGCTGATGCGGAACACCGAAGATGCAAGAGAGAGAGAAAGATAGAAAAGAACGGAGAGTGAGATAGGGTTCTCAACTAGTTAAATTCTATATCAAAATTATGCACTTTTTCGAAAGATGTATTCAAGATCATCACGATCCTGAAAATATATATTCTTCGTTGTTATTTTAAATTGATATTTAAACAAAACAAAAAAATTCTCGTCTAATTTGTTAATAATTGTAACTTTAGCTAGAAAATTTCTAACTCCGTTACTAATACCAACCCAATCGAACACACATCGATAACTCGCTAACGTAAGAGATTGACAAACGTTCAAACGGAAATTAAATATACACACACACACTTTAATGAATACATTTTAAACATTGAAATTATTTCGAGGAGGAGGATATCGCGATAGTCTCTTATATATGCAACAATTTTACAACTCATTTAATTTGTATAGAAGCAACTAGAGGTTTATCATCATGGAATTGAGGACAATTTGTAGAAAATTGAAAAATAATACTCGTACGAATTGTTGCGTTTCAATGATTTCAATTCTATTTCGATGACGCCATCATATTAATACTCTTCTTTCCATCTACTCTGATATATTTTCTAATATTTTGTATTTTAAAAAAGAAAGAAAGAAAGAACGAAAATTTAAAAATAAACGACGATTCGAAATTCAAACAAAAAGAAGAAGAAGAAGAAGAAGAAAAAAAGACAACACGAATAAGAGAATTCCCCAGAAATTTTTTTACTTTTCTAGCTGATAAAATCCCCCGTCCGGTTGACAAGGAAGTAGGTCACCTGGGTTACGTAAAAAGATACAGAAGAGAAATAATACATGATGGGCTTTTTTTAAAAGGAAACGAAAGGAAAGAAGAAAAAATAAAAAAAGAACAATTTCGATGTTGAGAAAATCATTTTTCTCGTTAGAGAGATATATATATATATATATATATATATATATAAAATAAAAAAGAAAA